AATTTCTCTGGCTTGCATATGCGTTTTAGTGATTGCTGGGTGAATGTCTATTGTGATGGTTTTGTTTTAAAGACGTAGCTTTGTGGATGGCTTTTTTTCTTTCTTTCTTTCTTTTTTCCTTTTTGCTATGTGCATCAAAGACCGGGTTTCCTTTTTTTTTTTAACCCCGAGATTTGAAAAATTGCTGAGCTTGACAGATTTTTTTCCTCCTAGCGCTTGCTCGGTTCCAGAAAGGGTGGGGGGGAATCCTGTACGTGCTCTGTTCTGTAAAAAGACGTCTGGCCTCAGCAGTCAACCAAACTCGAAAAGAAATGTCTGGACCCGGAGAATAATTGACGATTCGATCCTCTAATCAATGGGACAACATGGGAGATTGACAAAGGCCTTATCCAATCATGAGGAGGCTTGGGTGTACAATGGTTCTCAGTAGCCAGAGGGGGCGGGGCAGAAAAGATCTGAAGTTCTCTGCGGCTCTGAAGGGGATGATGTGGTTCAAGCTGTCAAAGCTACAAGCTCTTCCGGATTTAGCAAACACAATAGGAAAGAGTTTTTGAGTTTAAGAAAAAAAAAAAACAAAACCTGGGGAATTTTTGCATGAAGTGTAATGCCTTCTTAACTGGCTTTCAGAAAAAGCTAGAAAAATTCTTCTAGAGAAAAATTAACTTTGAATTATTATTTTTAAATTCGGGGAAGTTGTTGACTGTTGTGGAAGGGGAGGGTCAACTTTTAAAAATGGGTGGCTTAAAAACTTGCCTGAACTACAGGATGGTATTGAGCTCTGGGAAGTAACATATTGAATACACAGCATTGCAAAACTTCCCTGGTTATCTTAGAAGCTTTGACTTTTCAAGTACTTGGAAGGAATAGGAAAGCCTCTCTTCTTGAACTCTAAACAACAGTTTTAAGAGAGAGAGAATATTTCATAGGTGGACTGACAGCTGTTTTATACATTTGAAAGAAGGAAGAGGGGGAGAGTGTGTGTGTTTTCTCCACTTTTCTCGAATTCTGCTGTTTAAATATATGGTCAGTAGCAAATAGGATATTAAGACTGGCCAAGTTCACATTTGTTCTTGTTACCACAACAACCCCTGTGGAGGGTGTGTGTGGAAGATTGCTGACTTGCTAACTCTTAGTTGGAGTCTGGCCTCTTGGACAAGTCTTTGATACCAATCCAGTGGAAACCAACTGCAGTAGCTTGTCTTGGAGACAGTAACTGGCAGCCTCTGACTAAAGTACATCCATCTCTTCCTTCCCTCTGAGCATTGTACACACCTAATTCTGTTGGGAAGTGAATGGAAAATAGTATGGGCTCTTCCTCATCTTTGGATTAAATTCCCATGGAGCTATTTCCCAAGGCTTTCGGCCTTCTAATCAAATCTGGTTTGGAAATTTGACGTTAAAATCCACTTGGATGCTCAGTTCAGCAACATTATTCAATTTCGTATTATATGCATCTAAGAAAAATCTGCACACAAGTGACCAATAGGTCAAAAAACTAGAGAAAAATATTGGAAAATGCTAGTGATAAAGTTAGTCCTGGTAAGAACTACAGAGTTAATGGCATTGTCACTTATGAACCCCAATTTTATCTTTACTGCTTGGGGCATTAAAATCTAAATCATATTAAGATCTTCCTATCAAGTAACCTCCAAAATGAGAGGTATTTGTGCTATACATATAAGTGAAACCTTATTGACGTAATTTATATATCTAAGAGGATTTCACTAAAGCTGGCAAGGTAACATTTCTGCAAATAAAACACAGTAAATGCAAGGCTGGGCTCTGTGCCAGGAAGAATACGGATAGCAGAGAGCATGACAGGAGGCTCCTTTGCGCAAAGACAATCCCATTTCAAGGCAGCCTCCCAGCACTTGCAAAATAAATGATTGGAGCGGTTATTTCCAATAAGGGGTTTATCCTTCCTAACAATGGGTCATATATATGATTGCAGTAAACTAGCTTTTGTACTTCACCTGTTTCCTACAACTGTTCTCTCTACTGTCCTTTCTCCCTTCTCTCCTCCTTCCACCCCTGCTCTCGCTCAAGTGTCTTGGTATCTTTGTGAACTCTGGACAAGGATTTACTTTTGCAACTTGGGAAGAGGGGAAAGAGTTGGAAATGTTTTTACCCCCAGACTGCCCTTTGAGGAACATCTGTTTCTCTGTGTGTGTGTTTAAATTTATGCCTGTTGGAGAGAAAGTTACCAGAAGCCTTTCTGTAACTGTAACTCTTCTACTGTATTTTTCTCAGTCTTGTTTCCAAAGGCTGTAGTTGGAACTGTGCTTTGTAGTGTTTCCCCCGCCTCCCCCCCCCAACCCGCGGGGGAGGGAGCGGGAGCTGGCGGAGATAGGAGAGAAAGCAGGAGCGGATGTGAAGGGCTTTGGCGCTGAACTTGGATCCAGCCCTTGCCTAGAGGGCGCAAACAATCGTCCCATATCCAAAAGTCTTACGAAGGGCGCCAAAAGTTACTTAAGATAATATTGCTAACCGCAGAAAGCTGGAAATCGCGGGCACATTCACTGCTGCAACAAAAGAAGTTTTTAAACTAGAAATATCAGCATTAAATTACTTTTCCCTATTTTTAAAAACCAGGGCGATGTGCCAGTCTTTTTTAAAAAATTCCTTTTCTCTTTCTTGAGATTCAGTTAAAAGTAAGAATCTTTCTTGTTTTGGAAAGAGGCAGATGTGAAGTCTATCTTTTAATACAGCAAAAAAAAAAAAAAAAAAAAAAAAAAGATTTTAATCTGCTCTGGAAGAGAGCTTCCCAAGAGCACACACGGAACAATAACTTCTCACTGTGCCTCAGTTACATGTTGGGACCGTCCGCCAGAAACTTCTATCGAGGAAACTTGGAGCGAGTTGAAGTTATAGATCCCAGCAAAGGTTTTTGTGGCCAGGGAGGTTGTCTCTGTAACTCAGCTTAGCTTTTAGGACGTTTCTCTTCTACTGAAATTAAAGAGGAACCAAGGGAAAGCAGTTGTTTAGTTGGGGGAAAATGGGACTCTCTCATTAAAGATTTAAGTCATTATCTCCCCTCATCCCATAATGAATAATTTCAGAGACTTCCAAGGATATTTAGGAGCAGAGTATGTGAACATGGGTCTTGAGCATTCAGAAATTCTTTTAGCCATAAAGTAACTGGAGAAGAAGCATCAAATGATTTTAGACAGATGCAGAATATTTCAGAGGACTGTATTTTGCTTTCTCCAGTAACATATTTCTTGCTCCTTACTTATAAAAGGGGAGGGGGTGCGGTGGGGGAGCATAGTCTGGATGAGAGTGACCTTAGCATGTCACCTCACACTCACCTGCAGAGTGGGCATTCCTACAGGAGTTTCCTCTCTCCAGAGGCTCCCTGGCTATGTAACCTCTCCCAAGGTGCAGATTCTCCTGTCTGTGTGCCAGTGCCTTTCACCCTGATCTTTCCTTTCGGAATTTTGAGAAGGATTCTCAGATGCAGCAGGCTTGCAAACTGGAGTGAGGAAGATGAGGAGGAGGGGATGGGATGGGGATCAGAAGGAAGAAGGGGTTTTTTGGTTTGTTTGGTTTCTTTCTTTCTTTCTTTCCATCAGGGAGGAAAGCCTGGAGAAAAAAATATGAGGTTAAAAAAACTGGAAAAGCAGGCTTATTGGCAACTTGCCAAACCCTAAAAACCACCCCTTTTTTCTGCCAAAACAATACTTTACCAAACCTAAAATAATTGCAGGAAGCTCTTTTCCATTTTAAGAACGATTACCTGGGGGAGGAAAAAAGAGGGGATTCTTAAAAGGCACCCTTCCAGAGGTGTCCCAGGAACAGGGACGGTAATGATAGCCTGTGTCCAGTTTTGGGCACGCGTTTGTGGACCAGAATATCTCCCTTCCCTTAGGGGACATCCCTTTCACATTTTTTTTTCCTCCTAAAAAGAAAAAGATGTCACAGTTAAACCACTGTTGTTTCTGAACGCGATAGAACTTTTTCTATGGCGTCTGTGTTCAGACCCACTAGTTTCACAGTCCTGGGGGGGAGAACGCTCATTAATCTCCGCCTCCTTTTCTCCAGACAACCCCCCCTCACCCCCCAAATCCGGTGACTCTTCTGTGTGAAATTATTCCCCACCACCCCCGCTTCTGAATGCCATAGGACTGAAGCTGCACAAAGTTTAAAGGATTTTGTGCATAATTACCTCTACCGATGATCTATTCCCACAGAAAGCTCCGTTGGAGAGATTACAATGCTTTGAGCCGTACCGCATTTCAGAGGGGGAAAAAAAAGTTACCTAGGAGGTCTGATTTTTTAAAAAATTTGCATACATGCAAATTTGCCCCCCGGCCTTCTCCTCGGTTTTCTCCGTGCCCCACACAGTGAACCGGGAGAGCAGGGCAACCTGGCAAAGTTGCCCAAGTCCTCCACCGAGGTCCGCGAAGGTCTGCGGCGGGGCTTGGGGGATGGGGATGAGGAAAAGTAGTTTTGTTTGCTTAAGCACATCCTGTGGCAGCCTATAGCTGCCCGGGAGTACAGACTGTAACTGCTCCTCACTGCGTTACCCAGTAATGCGCTGAGCGGGGAAGCGGGGGCGGGGGGGGCAGAGGGAGCGAGAGAGCCTGCGAGCGAGGGAGCGAGAGAGGGAGCGAGCGAGCGAGCGCGAGCGGCTGCGGAGGCTCGGGACCCGGCTGGCCGCGCGGCGCCGCAGCCGCCCCCTCCCCCACGCACCCCCCCCCCCCCCGGCGGCGGCGGCGCGAGCGGGCGGCGGCTGTGCGGTGCGGTGCAGAGCGGAGGCGGAGGCGGGCGCGCGGGCAGCTCGCGGGCACCCGGCCGGGCGGGCGCGGGAGCGGGAAAGGGTGCGCTATGCCTTTAACGCCCGCGTACAGTAGACTGTATAGTGGAGTGTAGGGAAACTCTAGGCGGGGTTAAAGTTCAGCTCATGGAGCGGCAATCGCGCTGGCTGGCTGGCTGCAGTTGAGCCGAGTTGGAAATGTGAACGCAAGAAGCAGGCTTGATTTTTTTTCTCCCCCCTTCTCTCTCTCTCTCTTCCTCTCTCCCTCTTTCTCCTTTCTCACCCGCACTCACGCACACCTCCAAACCGCACACCCAGACGCACACGCACACCCCACCGCCCGGCAGTTATGTATTCTCCGCTCTGTCTCACCCAGGTAAGCAGCTGTTTGGATGCGGCGGGGTTGGGGGGGGGGCCGGGGTTGCGGGGGCAGACCTGGGGCTGGGCGCGGGGTACGGGGGACAGTCGCGCCGGCCGGGCCCGGGGCATGTGTCTTGGTGTGTGCTCGTGTCTGCGCGTGTTTCGGTGTGTGTGTGCGCGTGTGCTCGTGGCGGGGGGAGAAATACAGCTTTAAGAAAGTAACTTTGTTTCCATGCGGGTGCATTCCTCTTGCACGGCCATTTGTGTGGGCACATGGCTAATGGCGCCCTCTTATTAATGCGTTAATTAATATCGGGGCGACTGACTGCGGAACGGCGGTGTTTTCGGACGCCCCGCACGTGTTTCGGCGGGGTTGCAGCCCATGACGCGCTGAAATCTGGACTCAGCGTTTCTGCAGCCGGCAGGCCGGTTTCTGTAGTTCCGCGGCTCCCGGGGAGGGGGCCGCCGACGGAGCCCACCACCCACCCCGCACGCTCGGGGCAGCTAAAAGCCCCGGGTGCGGGAGAAGTCACGACCCTGCGCCCACGGCCCGCGCGCGGAGCCCGCGCCGCGGCAGGCTCCCCAAACTCTTACTTTTGTTTATTGTTTGTCAGCCTTTGGGGTCCGGCCGCGGGAGGGACGCGGGCCGGCGTCCCGGGCCCGGCCGGGACAGCGCCCCTCCGACGCGGGCGGGCGGCTGCGAGCCGGCCCCCGGGCTCGGCGGAGCGGGGCTGCGTGGACGCGCGTCCCCCCGCGCCGGCCGGGTGGAGCCTGCGTCCTCGCCGCTCATCGCCCGCTCGCTTTCCCGAGTGAAAGTTTCGCTGTCGGGACGAGCCCACGCTGCGCAGGGCGGCGAGCGCCGGAGGCCGAGGGCCGCGCGGGCCGGGGAGCGCCGGGCGGAGTTGGGCTCCCGGCCGCGAGCCCGAGCAGCAACGCCGGGCCGGACGCGGCTCCCCCCGCCGCCTCCCGCCACCGCCGCCGCGGGACTCGGGCAGCTCCGCGCGCAGGACGGGGGCAACTTTTCCCCTCCGACTCTGCTCAGAGCATGGGTCTCTCTCGCCCCCCCACCCCCGCCCCTCCTTCCCATGCCCTCCCTTTCCATCCCTCTCTTGTCTGCACCACCCCTAGGCAAAATATTGCTACTTCACGGCTCCAAATCTGGTCCCTTTTGAATATATTATTTATTTTCTTTGACTAAAAGGCATGTAGTCAAAGTGATTTTGCGCTGAAGACAATTTTTGAAAAAAAGTGTGAGCTTTCATACTGTTTTGGTACATTGCGATCTGACCATTAATCACCTACATGAAGTTGTATGCTTCAAGTAAAATGTTTATTTACCACTCCCTTAAAAAACCTGCTACCACTTATTGCTTTCATTTAGCAGGAGATAACGGTTTAACTGGAATACTTTATGGAAGGTTAGAAAGTATCAATAATTTTTTCCTTTTCCTCTCTAGATTCTGGATTTATTTCTCACATGACAGCCTTATTGCAATATCTAACAGGAATAATACTGGTTATTTGATCTCAGAAGACTCTTAAATGCATCTTTTATGTAGAAATGGTCTGTTTGGGATTTAGGCCTAGCATTAGTAATGGATAGCAGTTGCTTTTAGTTACTGTAAAAGTTTTTTATTTTTCCTTAACAAACTTCCAAAGTTCCTATTTTAGTAACTTGTGGAAGTATGGAATGAAACTTTTCCAACCACTTCTGGCAAGGTTCACAATTGCATATGGATAAGATGCAAAGTGTAAGAGAATTTGAATGAGTTATGACTACAGTGGAAATGCTGAGATTCAAAGGCTGAAGTTCTTGCTGGCAGAAGTTTGCAACATAGAGAACTTGTAGACAATACCAGGGTGCTGCAATGGTGGGGCATGACCTTAGCAGACACATGAGTATCTTCTCAAGTGAGCTCTGCAGAGAAAAATTTATATTTTGGGTTGGTGCATATATGAGGATACCTGTGTATCCATGCAGGCCCAAGACATAGTCAGGTACCTGACAAAGGCGATTCTCTTGGTTCACGAGCTATTATCACATTAAGAAAGTTTTGTTTGTTTTTTTTTTTTTAAACATATTTGGCAGTGTGATTGATACACTCACTAGGCCTTCTTCTGGAAACACCAGTGAAAGAAACACTTAGTGTAACAGTTGGTGAAGAAATTGTACTTTAAATAGTGAACGAGAGCCACGTATTTTGGGTTCTTCTTTTAAAAATTGATTAACAATTTTATTTAACTTGCTGGAATACTTATAAAGCTGTAGAGCCAGTTTTAGAAAGAAAACTTGGGTAGTTTATTGGTCATTGAAGAAAGTTCAGTAAGCACAGTGACAGAAATACTCTAAATGAAAGAATAAACTACATCTACGTGTATGCAATTTTTAAAACTTTATCAAGAAAATGTCAGGAGTCTTCTTTTTGTCCATACAAGCGTATCATAACCAAATCGTTTACCCGGCCATAGAATGATAACCCGGTAGAAATTTATAGGTGAACCTTTAAAAGTAGTTCCAGCAATATCAACGTTCAGTGGTTCTTAAGCTTGGCTTACTTACAAGCAGATCAACATTTAAGGTGCTGATTCAAAGTCATACTGCTTTTGAAACAGGTTTTCAGATTTGTTTTCATTGATGGTCTATAACTTTCTCACTGAGTGCACGTGTAGAATATTCTTTATTATCTCCTGAATATTTTGAAATAGTACGTAGCTTATGGCAGTATGTGCAGCAACATGATTTATAGGGGCTTACTTTTTAAAAAAATTAATTTATGCTGGGCCTCGACATTTCCTGCAAGTTAATGATTTTCTTTACTTTTGATGATCTGGACTATTTCTAATTGTGAGTTGAGAAAGATGACTAGCTCTTTAATAGTACATGTGAGTAAAGTTGTACAAAATACTGTGTACTTTTATTGGCACATTCTTGAAACCTTTGGGGAGTAGTAAGTTGTACATACTTTTGATGCACAATTGGGGACTTAGATTATTCTTAATGATTAATTGACATGGTTGTCCTCATTTGAGGGTTTTTATGTTTTTATGATGAGATATATAGGCATTTGGTTGGCAGGTAAACAAAATGAACACGAATGAACGCGGTTCGCAGTTCTGTGAGAAGCATACTAGGAGTCTCTTCAGACACTTAAATGCCATATTAGAATGTCTTTTTTAGGCAAGGCTTATTCTTATTAATGAAGCTTTTGAATAAGATAACATTTTAACATAAATGTGAATTGTTTGGAACTTAGTTGTTCTTTGCTTTATAAAACAGGCCTGAGATTTTAAGATGAAATCTTCCTTTTGGTGAAAGCTCACTTTATAGTTAAGGTAGACTCCAGGAGTTCTTAACATAATATCACAGAGCCTTGGTCCCTAGCATGTTCTGTGTATATAAGAAAATAAGTCAATATGAAGGACTGTTTCAAACCCCAATTTTATGTATTTTAGAACATTTCAAGGATGAGCTCAGAATTTAGTAATATTTAAATGCTTTGCGGTTTGGCGTATACCTTATTAGATAAACTGTGACTTGAAAACACCCCCTCCCCACCACCATTTCTCTCTTTTAAAGTATGGCAATAAGAAAGATTCTTAAACATCAGAAATTTAAAATGTTTATGGTAAAGAATAATATAATTCTTGTATTTTTTTCTGCTCCCTCTCCACTTGAAGAATGCACACATGTTAGAAAAGCTACTTCTCTTTTAGATTTTTATTGAAAAAGAGCAGTTTTCAAAGCTAAATTTGAAATGCAGAGCCTGAAATTTGTCCAGAGAGGAAAAAGATAAATGTCAATTATTGAATTGATTTATTATATATCACATTAATATGTACTTTAAAAAATAGTCATATGTAGTGTTCAGATGATTGATTATAATTTATAATATTTTAACAGACTTGACAAAATATTTTTCCAGTTTTAACCACTCAGTTTACATTTGAACATTTGAAAACTTAATAATTTCTTTATAGTAATAATATTTTGGACATTACAGTTACTTGTGCCTCCAAAGTATATATTTAGGTGGATAGTACAAACTGAAAAAGAATGCATTTTATAATATTTGTCTGTCCTACACCCTTTTTAAAAAAAGGCATCAAATATCTTTTTGGTGTTCATATCCTCATTTATCTGAAAGTAAATAATTTATCTTCTGGGGGTTTGTGCGGCAGAGAGAAGTTATGTAAGATTAGTGTGGGTTGGTTAATCAAAAGTTAGATGTACTCAGAAAGCTTTGTGGAGGTTACTGTTTAATTTTTCTTTAATTTTATATTTATATTTCCTAAGCAAATATCAAGTTAAAGAATCAAACATTTTCATAAGACAGTAAGAAAAACTTAAATGTTTTAAATTGAATTTTATTTTCGGGTTACTTGAATCTTAAGGCAACCGTGGGGGTTTTCCTGGAATCTCGTAAACATTAAATGTACCAGGTTCTCTATTTCCTTCTGAGAAAAAGCCTGAAATACTAATTTCAAAAATTAAGTAAAGATTCTCTTTTTTAGCGATGATTATTACCGAAGGCATTTTACAAAATTAACTGTATTTAGTTGCAACCCTGTTGTCACAATGACGCATTCTATTTACTCTCTGGCATGTATGCTTTTCTTTGTTCCCCCCCCCCCCTTTTTTTTTTCTTTTTGTTTCATTCCCATAGTATCAGCAAGTATGTCTTGGAAATAGATCTTTTATTTCAGCCTGAAGAATATGAAATTCATCTTTTGCATATGCCAGATTTTTCTAAGTTTTTGACTAAAAAAATTATATGCAACTGTAATCCTTAAGAAGGAATTAAGATGTTACCAAAATGCCTAAGAAACAGATTAGCGTCTCCATGCAGTATTTTTAGAGGGAAAGTCTTTGTTTTCATTGATCGGGGAAATGATTTTTTTTTTTTTTTGCTCCTAGACTTCCATAAACATTGACTGGCATCTAAATGTTTAGGATTTGCCAATCTGGCGGCCGAGCCCTGGGTGTACTACAAGTAGTGAGGTCAAGGCTGGAGCAAAATTAGATATGCCTTTCTTGAAATAGGGTTAAGATTATATATTGTTATAAGCATTTCAATACATTTCACGTACTATACTAAAGGACTTGGGACCTAGGCTTGGCAGTAGACCCCGGTGCACGTTGGTGAACATACCAACAGATTTTTAAATTTTTAGCCGTTTTCTTTTTTGAGATTGTGAGGCATGATACTGACAGTTTTCCTTTTCTCCCCCCTCAGACTTCCCACAGGCACCCTCTGTGTAATTTTGGTACTGTAATGATCGAGTCAGCTTTGAAGTGAAATAAGCATTGTTTTGTTTTGTTTTTAAAATGACCATCTGAAGAAAAGTTGTTTCCTTTTGTTTTCACTATAGTTATATTTTTGTTGTCATTCATTTCTCTAGGATGAATTTCATCCTTTCATTGAAGCACTTCTGCCCCACGTCCGAGCCTTCGCCTACACATGGTTCAACCTGCAGGCCCGAAAACGAAAATACTTCAAAAAACATGAAAAGCGTATGTCAAAAGAAGAAGAGAGAGCCGTGAAGGATGAGTTGCTAAGTGAAAAACCAGAGGTCAAGCAGAAGTGGGCATCTCGACTCCTGGCCAAGTTACGGAAAGACATCCGACCTGAGTACCGAGAGGATTTTGTTCTTACAGTTACGGGGAAAAAGCCTCCATGTTGTGTTCTTTCCAACCCAGACCAGAAAGGCAAGATGCGAAGAATTGACTGCCTTCGCCAGGCAGATAAAGTCTGGAGGTTGGACCTTGTTATGGTGATTTTATTTAAAGGTATTCCGCTCGAAAGTACTGATGGCGAGCGCCTGGTAAAGTCCCCACAGTGCTCGAACCCCGGGCTCTGTGTGCAGCCGCACCACATAGGGGTTTCTGTTAAGGAACTCGATTTATATTTGGCATACTTTGTGCATGCAGCAGGTAAGTGCGATGGGGAGAAGTTGTTCACTTTCTTGTGTGTCTCTTTCTGATGTCCTCTATGTGCCGGGCCAGTCCCGCACCGTCTGAGTTGCAGGCCACAGTGCAGACAGACAGTGTGCTTTCAGAGGTAAACCAGAGTCAGAACAGCCAGAAGCCCCCCTCCCCTCCCCTCCCCTTGTCCGAGGGCACAGCTTCATTCAGGTGGAAAAGCATAGCTTTGAGAGGACTCTCACCAAGTTAAGGTCTTTTGGCAAGTCGTGTTATCAAAGGTGTTGGTAGTTGTGTGATATGTTTAAATCCCAATTTTCGGTGATGGGTGAGAGAAGCCTCATAAAACAGTTGGAATAAAGGGGATATTATAAATGGCAATGATCGCGTTTAAAAAGCATGGAGTTTGGTTGGTGAGGCAGTATTTTTAGTTGCTTATCTTCTGGGAGTGTTTTTAACCTGCTGGGGCCTCTTGAAGCCCCTGCTAATTAAGAAAAGGTGGTGAGAGTACTATCAAATTGCTGATCATTTATGAAGGAAAAAGAATCACATGAATACACAAACGTAGTAGCTTTGTTTTTAGGAATTCCTGTTGTCTAGGATAGCTGAGGAAGAAACAAACCAGCTTTCTAAGTAATTGATGGCAAGGTTAATCTTAAAAGTAACCAGCCTGGGTTGTGCATGAATGCACCAAGAAATCGATATTGATCATTGATTTAGTGAGTTGCTTTGATTGGTGATAAGATTCGTTATTGTTTCAAGGCTGTTTTCAAGGCATGTTTTACCTGTGTATATTATAGCATTCAGGCTAAAACTATTGAGCACTGAGTAAAAGAATGCATTTCTACTTTGTTTCTTTTGCCTTGTTTTAGACAAAAGGTTCATTGTGTTATGGGAAAGCTCAAGTCTTGTGTAACTTGTTGACTTTTAATATGTACACATCGGCCTTGCTAGATTTTACCTTCATGGTGGTTCCTTGAGCCAGATGGAGGAAAGAAGGTTATGGAATCCTACCAGTAGGCTGTTTTGGGGTTCATATATTTACATATTTTTTCACAAAGGAGAAAGGTGCTACCTGTAAAAACCTGTTTTTGCAAAATGTTTTTAATTCTAAGACTGAGCTTTTTTTTTTTTTTAAAGAAGTCAGCTGATAGCCTATTCTCTATTATTTTTCTCAATATATGTTTTAGAAAGAGAACTTTTGTTATCCATCTGTCCTTACATAAGAAACTGGAGAAATTAACTTTGTAAGCATGTCACATTATCATTTGCATTCTGTTGGCAGGGGATAGATGAGTATTTTAGAGGATGTGATCTGTAAGTGTTTCAAATATTTGGGTTTTGGAGAATGTATACTTAATTGTAAGGAGTGCCTGTTGCTGTAGCCTGTTCTTCCTAGTGACATGAAAAGGCACCACCTCTCCAGTGACCTCTAGACAGGAACAAGTATCCCTTTCTTAATCCCCTTTTCACCCTATTGTTACATTGTTTTCTCTATTGAAAAAGCAGAGTTAAATTTTTAAAAAATTTATTTGCGTGTGTAAGTGGAGGTTCTGACAGAAAGGCAAGGCACACAAAAAAAGGATGGGTGTTATCAGTGCTTTCAGGGAGGACTCCTTAAGATCTTGTGTTTAATCTTTTCAGTATTTAGAAAAGTAAATAATTTATCAACTCTAACAAATGCTCTAATTGAACCAATAGAGAAAAATGAGGGTGCCAACAGGTGGTACACATCCTGGTGTGTGCTTTCTTACAAGGTACCTCGGAACGGAACACCGGTTACGTTTTTGTCGGTGGGAGCAGCGCCCGTTCTGATTTTTAGGTATAAGTATTTTCCTTCGATTCAAAGAGCTGCAGCCTTCGGAGCTAGTGCCATCACGTGTATTCTCTTCCGTCGGTGACCGTTCGTTACTGGGCGGTGGCTCCAAATCCCGGAGCTAACACGGCTGCTGGTGGTTTTGGTACCCGAAGGGTTTATGTTGGTGAAGTGACAGGTAGAAGGTTGCTTGGGAGAGTTAGCATCCTTATTGCTTATGAAAGATTTATTGACAGCAACGTGGATCAGACTACCTTTCGGTTTGGTTTTCCTGAGGTATCCCAGAATCCCTTGGTAGGCCTGACTGGCAGCCAAGTGTGAGGCCATTGGCTTTCACAGAGCGCTGCGATGGCTGCTGCTCGGCGCACGCAACAGGACGCTCGCAGAAGAAAATATGAAGGGCCTTTTGTCTGAAAATATTTCAAATTTGATTTAGAGACCTGTGATTTGTGGAAGGGAAGCTAGTTGCCAATACAAATATGAGGTAGATCGGTCAACTTACGTACAACTGATTTGACAAGCATCTGTTATAATACTGAAGATTTGTAAACACTAAACAATGTTTTTACCTCCTTAAAAGTTTTGAGAACTTGCCAGTATTGGCAAGAGGCAGAGACTCTGAAACGTGCTTCAAGAAACATGCCAAAACCATTGTGGCCTTTTCACCTATGGTGGATTTTCCAACCCCCCTCTCTCTTATAGTCTTGTATTTTTTTTTCTTTCAAAATGCCATTTTTTTCCCTCTAGATAGCCCACCAAATGAGATTTTTTTTTTCCCCCTTCCAAAAATGCGTACGATAGTTACTGCTTCATGCCTCGGCCTTTTCTTTGGTAGGAGGTTGAAATCTTAGGACGCACTGTAAATATTGGAAGCCAGTGCAGAATCAGTCATTTTTTAAAAGTGCAGGTGATGTAGTCTAAAACTTATTGAGGTGCTAAAATACAATACCTAAACTACATTCTGATTTTTTTTTTTTCTAAATCTGGTAGCATTCAGGCAGTGTGAATTTTGTGGCTGATAAACAGTAACAAGTGTAAAGAAATTGGAGTGATTCCATAAGCCTGAGAATTTCATCTCGTTAAAAGTATAAAAGAGCAAAACCATTTTATGCCCTTAATTTGGTCTTTATTTGAGTCGTCCTTCCATAGGTATCGTATGACAACTTGAAGATATTGTGGAATTGTGGCAAATGGTTTTCTTTGTGGGCGTGTAACAGTAAAGCTAATTTATGACCAGTCTTTACCAGATGATCTGTATCAGAATCTACAATATACCCGGCACGTGGCAAGGTCACAATTTAAGTTGTTAAGGTCATAACCTTAGCCACCAGGCATTTGACCTTTTAGATAAAGTTAACCTTTGTTCATTAGTAGGCACTCAACCGAGAACTTTCTGGAGAGTTTTTTTTTTTTTTTTTAACTGCGTCTGTATACTTCTGGTAATGTAATCAGATTCTAGAAAGATTTCTCAGTTTAGTTAAATTTTGTAAGAGGTTAGACTTTTTTAAGGACTCACCTCTTGGATAGAGGTAAGTTGCTGTGTCTGCACCCCAGAATGACAGAGTCAGAATTTATTTTCGATAGTTATTACCTGCTGCGAGATGGAATGAAACAATGAGGCAGCTATATGGAGACAGTTAGAAAGTACAATTAAATAAATAGCATTATATTTAAATCAACTAAGTAAAGCCTTTGCCTAACTTTCCAGTGGCGTTAGGCCCAAAAGCTAAATCGCCACAGGCATCTTCACTTTTTGCAGATGAGGACTTTTCTAAGATTGGAAATTTCTTTTTAGTGGCATTAAAATTTGTTTTGAGAGACTAATAAATGACCAGTATTTGTCAGGTAATGACTGTCATTGTTAATTCTCCAGTGACAGAGTGATTGAATCTGTCCTAAGGATAGCACGAGGAGTGTTAGTTGTAAGGTGGAGAGTGACCATTTTTGCACAGTAATGTTTTAGTACAGTAGCTACTGGTTGCTTCCACGCTACCCGTTACTGCCTATCCTTAGTTTTGCTTGGAACAGGAATAGTAACAATCCTGCCACTCGCTGAAAGAGCTGTTTGCAGTGTTTTGGAAGTCTGGTACCTGTTCCGGAAACCTGTACAGCCAGTATTACTGATTACCACATTACTCGTACCATATTGTTCATTTAATTATGCTGTTGTGAATGCTCATTTTAAATTATTTACATTCTGCTAGTTTTGCTCTGATATGCCACATATTATTCCATTTTAACAAAGACAGAGATACTCCCATTCAGGTACATTTTAGTTTTATTTTGGCTCTGTGATTGCCATTCCTTCATATAGTTATAGAGAAAGCCGTGATATGCAGATAGACCAGATGGTCATGTTGACAGATTGAGAATTCACTTCCTACTGCTTCAGAGCAGGTGTAAGATTGGGAGTGTCTGTGTATGAGCGTGTGTGTGCTTCGTGTGCATGTGTGTGCACATTCGGGCTGCACACACAGGGCTGTTGAGAGCCGTGCAAATGATTTCTTTTTTTAAAAAAACTGGTACTTTAAATACCATGTAACTCTATGCATAAGGTTATCCGTGCATATAGAATCATTATTGTAAAAAATTTTAAATGAAAATGTTAAATTGTTACAGTTTATAATTTTATGCTGGATGAGTTATGGTGATGTTTTAATTTTGGGCTAACTTATCATGTTAGTTTGTGGCAGTATTGCATATCTAAAATATGTTCAATATATTTTGTTAGCAGGCGTACATGTGTATGTGTGTTTATGCTCAAGTTTAAGGCCATACATTATGTAATTAAACTTTTTCAGTACCTTAATAAACCCCCTAATAGAAAGTTCTGCAGTTAGTTCTGGTGATTTATAATAGTAAGCTGTATTTAGAAAAAGAAGGTGTAAGACTAACATACAGTGATGTTCAAAATTAAGAGTAAGTGCCACCCTATCTCAAATTCTTACTCCAACCTTAAACCGAACTCAAGGTGGATTTTGTGGCTGACTGATCCATTTGAAATCATTGGTGTATGCACCGTTCTAAAAAATTTCATTTATCTTTCTATTTATCTTTTAATTCTTTTAAGAAAATAGCACTAACAGTCCACAAACTTGAGAAAATATGGCTTTTGTATCCTTGACTGTTTTAGGCGTAACTTGAGGGTAGTAACAATATCCTTTATCTAGAATGTAGTAACAGTATCCTTTATCTA